ATCATTTTTGTATATATATATATTATGAACATTATTTATTCCAAAGTATTTAAGGAAAACAAATATTATCTAAAATTAATGTCGCCGTCAATTGACAGCCGCCCAAAATTGCAGGATCCGAGGGCGATCGGCAGTGACACATCATCCAATGTAAATATCTGACAGAAAAATCAGATAATTTTCATTTTTATTAAATAAATAAATTCCAGCTGTTTATGCATGCATTTGATAACGTGGTGACAGCCATAGTCCAGCTGTTATGGGCCCTTTGATCTCGTTTTTATCGACAATTTATCGTTAAATTACCGCCATTTCTATTCTCGTCTTGTCCCTAAAGAATTAATAAATAATAAAGTCGGATTCAAGCGAAAAATAACTATCTATTTTTAATACTAAAATTAGACAACAGTAAATAAATGACAACGGCCGAATTACTCGCTAATAAATTATGGATAAATTCAGTTAAAATTAAATATTAATTTTAAATCATATTTTTCATTATTAATACTCATTTATTATCTAGTACCAATCATTTTAAATGATTTTTTTTACCGAATGTAGCGATAGGATTTAGTTACTTACTCGTACTTTGTGTGTGTTTGGTAGGGATTTTGGGGGAAGAATTGATTTTTGAATAGTGATATGATGGGAAATGTGTGGTTGAAAAAGAAGAAAAAGTTATTGATGTGATGAAAAGTATTATTTTATTGAAGAATGTGTGGTTGAAAATGAGAATTGATTTGAGAATTGATTTTGAAAATCACAACCAAACAGGCACTTCATTTTTTTTCAATCCCATTTACATTTATNAATCACAACCAAACAGGCTCTTTATAAACCCTAGGGGAATGGATGATTCTGTGGATAAATGATCAATCAACGTGCCGTACATAAATAAGGTCGATTAATAAGACGATTGATTCTTTGAAAACCACATTATGAATCGTTCAATCCCATCGACAATTGCAAGTCGGGATCAATGTTCAACGAATTGAATGTTGACCTTATGTAGTGTCAAGTTTGAATAGGATTGACTACATATGGATGACCATTTTTTTTTTGCCCCAATAAGTTTTCTTAGCAGTGTAAAATGAGCTGTATGAGTCGACTTCAAGATAACTCGCATGGCAATATCAAGTATTAAACATAGGCCATCTAACATATACTCAGTCTATTGAGTAAGGTCGCTAAATAGTACTCTTGATTTTACGTTGGCTTATTGAACTGTTTTAAGAAAAAATTTCTTACAACTCTGAGTATGGTAAGAAAAAAAAATGTTCATCACATTTTTTTTTTTTTTGTTAACAAATTCTTTTGTTGTTTGTTAATTTATAACACCACTCGACCGTGAGTGAGTAGGAGCTATAAACCTATTTTATATGTACAAACATATTTTTACATACTTAATGAAGAAAGAAATCCCTAACTTGACAAGTGTTATATAAATCTTTCTTGTCTTTCAATTTATTACACATAATAGAAATTTTTTTTTTTCGCGACATCGAGTAGGAGCTACAAATTTATTTTAATAGACTCCGTCAGCAAGGCATTTTGTAATCTACACTTATTAGAGAAATATATTTTATTGACTTTTAGTTTATTTCACTACTCGACTGTGATTGAGAATGACCAAATATATTGTATCTATATTTTTCTTGCAACATTCAATGTGACCTACAAATATATCTAATAGGCACGAGCAAGCAAGACATTTTGTACTCAATAAATGCCATAAATATCTTTTTCTCCCCTTTAAATTTATCAGACTACTCAATCGTGATAGACCAGAACCTACAAACATATGTTACCTATTCTCTCCCACGATATCGAGTAGGAAATGGAGCAAAATCAATCAAGACATTTCGTACTCGACAGATTTCACAAAATATCTTTTCTTGCCTTTTAATTGCACTACTCAACCGTGATTTAGCCTATAAGGATATTGTATCTATTTTTTCCTATGATATCGTGCAGGACCTACAAACATATTTTGACACATCGAGTTAAGCAATATATCACGTACTCAACAAATGCCATAAAATTTCTTTTCTTGCCTTTTAATTTATTATACTGCTGGACTGTAATTGAGTAGACCTAATATATTTTAATACAGCATGCCAAGAAGACATCCCATACTCGACATATGTCATAGAATACCTTTCTAGCATTTTAACAGTTCTAGTCAAACAGGATATTTCGTACTTGACAAATGTTACACAATATCTCTTCTCCATTTTAGTTAATTACGCTACTTGCTCGTGATTGAGTAGGACCTACAAAAATATTTGAACAGATATCCTTGTACTACTTCACATATGTCACAAAGAAACATTTCTTTCTTTTTTTAGTTCATTACACTACTCGAATGTAATTTAGTAGGACCTAAAAATATATTTTAACAAACCCCGATCTCTCAAAGTGCAATTCAACAAGATCTACAAACGCATATATAGTGCTTGCTAGATTTAAAAAAAAAATTACTAAAAATTTAACAACTATTTAATTGGTCAAATTTAAATTTAACAGCATATTTTATGGAACTCATAATTTTTATCAACGTTTTAACTATAAATCTCATCAATTTTTATCTAACTATGCTCTTATTTAATTTTCATGAGATAGCAAATAGGACCTAAAAATACATTTTATCCATCTCTTGCCGTGTACTCATGTAGACCAATTATAACACATTACTCGATCTGGATAAAGTAACCTAGAAAAATTCGAAAAAAATTATTTCCTCAAAATTGTTTCAATTCTTTGTCACATATATATATCGCCCGCGAGTAATTCACGATAAGAAAAGCTTTCTCCTTAACCAGCAAGCGAGAAAATAAAATAAAAAAATACACCGTTTCTAGAGGGAGAGAGAGAAACTCGAAACTCGACATACAGTTAATGCTCTGAGCCGACATATATTCATTTATTCAATCCAATATAAATTATCTCAGTTCATAGAATTCTCCGAAGCTCATAAATCTATCTCTTTCTCTCTCTAAAACCACCATTAATTATCAATTCATACGAAGAAGCAGAAGAAGTGTGAATTCTTCAATGGATCCTTGTCCATTTGTTCGTTTAATTGTGGAGTCATTGGCCCTTAAACTCCCTTCCGCCACCAAATCAGCGGGTCCGGGAGTTCACCCATCCACCACGCCATGCTATGCGAAGCTCAAAATAAAAAAATTTCCATCACAAACAGCCCTCCTTCCACTCTGTACATCAGCCACCAATGACCCGCCGGATTCCTCCACCTCCGCCGAAGGCTTCCACCTCGACCCAGACGCTCTCCGCCGCCTCTCATGCAAGCGCATTACTATCAAAATCTCCCTATTCGCCGGCCGAATGGGACACACTTGTGGTGTCACTTCCGGTAAGCTCTTGGGCTCCGTTCAGGTTTTGATCGACCTTGCTAATGCTCAGTCGAGGTGCGTCGTGTACCATAACGGCTGGATGAAACTCGGCGGGAAAGGAAGCGATCAGGATAAGTCTGTGGCGAGGATACATTTCACCGTCCGGTCTGAACCGGACCCTCGGTTCGTGTTCCAATTCGGAGGTGAACCGCAGTGCAGCCCGGTGGTTTTTCAGATTCAAGGGAATATAAGCCAGCCGGTTTTCAGCTGCAAGTTTAGCGCCGATCGGAACAACAGGTCACGGTGAGGCCCCCAGCGCACTTTAGTAAATATTGCGTTACATGTGCCATGGTGGAAGGTTGCTTAGGCTATGGCCTACCACCTTTCTCTTCAAGTCTTTTCTTGTATTTGTTTTTTTTACTTTAATTACTTAACATTTATTAGACGATGTTTTTTCTAAAGAAAGTTAATTCTTTTTTAAGTAAAATGATTATACCTTATTAATAATTTGGTCAAAGTTACGCTTTTTTCTTCAAAAAAAAAATATATATTATTTTATATTTCGCTCTTGTTTGGTGGAAATTAAAATTGAAATTTTAATAAATTTTGATGAAAGTTGAAAAAAAAAAATGTAATTGAAAAATTGTGGGTTCTATAAAATGTGTTGTTAAAATTAATCGTTGATTCTGACTTAGATTTTAACGAGATTTTTGAATGGTAACAAATAGAGGCTTAATGTGTATATATTTTATTCCATTCAAAATTCATCGCCCCTACTTCAAATCCTATCTCTGCAAATTACTTCTTTATGTAAAATTTTTGTGATTTAAATTATTTTTTTTCATATTAGTTCAGTTTAAAGATTTTTTAGCTCGGTCTTGATTTCGTCCCTAACTTGATGCTTTCATAGTAGAAAAAGGAATTTCAATAATCCCTGTAATTAGAATTAGTGCTTGAAAATTATTTAATTGAATCAATGAAGGACGAAAGAGAAAGTTATAAGATTTTATTCGTTTTTGGCCCTTTAGTTTGGTGAGAAAATTTGATAAAAAAAAATCTTTCAACTGATAATTATTACATTAATTGCTATTTAAGGTTCCCATTTAGGGAATCATTTCTTGTGATTATCTCCTAAATGTGAATATTTGGTCAAAGATTAAGCTCTCTAATTAATTGACATCAATGTATAACACTTGTTTCCATGCCATGTTCTTGTTTTTATGACATTAAAAGTCCGTTTGATTGGCAAAAGTGGAAATATTTTTCAATTCCATATAAGTTAGAAAAATAAAAACTCAGGTATCCCATATGAATGTATTTTCCATGAAATTGACAAAAAATAAGCTTAAAGTGATTGTACCATGAAATTCGAACTTCATTTTCACTTTCGTATCAACAGCCAAAGTATAAATTGAATTTCTCGGATGTGACATTTTTTATGGAATTTAAATCAATCAAACGGACCCTAATGTTATTCTCTATTTGACTTTCTGCTGCTTAAGATTTACAGTATCTGGTTTTTAAGGTTGTTTCCATGTGATGTTTCTAATTTCTTTTATGGAAAATCAGGTCTCTCCCTCCAGATTTCAACACCAACAATAAAAGATGGACGATGAGAACCTTTTCGGGCGATAGAGACAAACCGGGAAGGGAGCGAAAGGGTTGGATGATAATAATTTACGATCTATCCGGTTCACCCGTTGCAGCAGCCTCTATGATCACACCATTTGTCCCATCCCCGGGGTCTAATCGTGTTTCACGATCAAACCCTGGTGCATGGCTCATTCTCCGGCCTAATGGCGACTCAGTTAGTAGCTGGAAGCCTTGGGGTCGTCTTGAGGCTTGGCGCGAAAGAGGGCCAGTCGACGGTTTAGGTCACAAGTTTGAGCTTGTAACCGACAATGGTCTAACAAGTGGAATCCCCATTGCCCAAGGCACGATGAGCGTTAAAAAGGGCGGGAATTTTTACATTAATAACTTGATCAAGGGAGGTTTTGTGATGGGATCAAGTGTGGAAGGTGAAGGTAGAGTGAGCAAGCCTATGGTACAAGTTGGAGTGAGGCATGTGACTTGCATGGCCGATGCTGCACTATTCGTCGTGCTTTCAGCTGCCATTGATCTCAGCATGGATGCTTGTCGACTGTTTTCGCATAAACTAAGGAAGGAATTTTGTCACGACGAACAAGAATCATTCTTCTAGGACCCTTGAAAACCCTCCCAAAATCTTAATTTCTTCAGTTGCAGTGACAACCGTCGAATTCTAGGACTTCGGTTTGAGCTTTAAAGACACCCTTTTATCCCCATGTTACCCCTCAGATTTCATCTAAACACAAACTGCAACATTTTCTGGTGTAACTAAGATTTTACATCACAATTTTTTGTGCCCTTTTATTTTGATTCTTTGGTGGATTGGTTTTGTATACACATGATAACTTTATTGATTCTTTCGTTTTTTTCTTAACTGAACTTTACACATACAGTTCGACAATGTAAAGCGAAAGAAAGAGGAATTTCATTTGTTTGCCATTTATAGTTTTTTTTCTTGTCGTTGTTAATGTACCATCCAACTCCGCTTTAGCGTGTCAATGTGCCATACTGATGTTAGGGTCGATCCCCAAAAAGTGTCTATTTTGTGTAAATGTCGAGGTTTGATCACTTCAAGGACCCCTTTCGAGGATATATCAATCCAAAGTAAAGAAAAATGGAGAGCAAAACCTTCAATTAGCTCCGTCTTTGAAATTATTAGAGCATTTTCAACGGTGATGTAAAATTGACTATAAATTGGTATCTTCAAATCACTTTTGTATCTTCATTTACATCTTGATGGATCTAAATTCAAATTTACTCCAATGGAAAGATTTAAATCCATTTTTGCCTCTTGTAGATGTAAAAAAAAAGTAAATTTATATATTTTTTTACATTTACTATCAAAAAATGCAATTTGCAAATTTGCATCTCTCCGTTGGATAGATTTTCAACCATCTTGGAGATCCAAATAACAATTTAGATCTATTTTACATTGAAGATATTCTTAAATTAAGTCACAATTTAGATCTATTACATACTATAATTGAAGATGCGCTAGAGGTATAACTTCGGAAGGCTGGATAAAAGAAATCGTTACTCTTGTGCCCCGGGGCACATTCAAGATGGCAAAGACAGTGCAAGGTTGGGCTGCCACCCCAGTGTGGGGAGTTCGAGTCACGAATAGAGCAGCCAAGAGTTGTAATACCCAAACCATGTGGTGG